ATTGTACCCGCCTTCTGCTGCAGTTCTCCATCAGGTCCATCAGCAGAGGGCGGGTACAATGCTAGTTTACTATTGGCTATTGCAAATTGAAAAAGCCAATAGGAATCTAGCAATGCATTCCAATGGGCAAACACTTATTTTTTGCTATTCTGACATGGCTCCGTGTCAGAATAAAGAAAAATCAGTGTTTCTCTCCTGGGCGGCTGGGTGCGGGAGACTTTTTTTCTTTTTACGGCAGCAGAACTGCCAGACAATAGAAAACTGTTGGGCGGAGCTAGCTGTCACTGCTAGCTCCGCACAATCATTTTCTATTTACTTTTGTTTTACTTTTTTTAACCATTTTTTTGTTCTGCTCGGTCCCTCTCAGAATAGGCCGAACAGCAGTGAGTAGCCTGCCGGAGGTTCGGCTCAGCCGATACAGATGTTGGATCGGCTAAGTCAAACTCCTTCTGCACTTCGGATCAGCCGAACATGCTGAGCATGTTCAGCCGACCCGAAGCCATGCGAAGCAAGCCGATGTACGGCTGATTTCAGCCGATATACAGCTGATTTCAGCCGATATACGGCTGAAATCAGCCGTACCAGCCTGAAGTGGATAGCCGAACAGTGTTCGGCTCACTTCACTTGGGGTCGGTTGTTCACTCGGCTGCCCTAGGCAGCTTAGTGAATAGACCCATCAGAGTGTACTCTTCAGTCCAGTTGGGACACAAGATATCTGTTAGGAGAATGCAGTGCAAGTGGATACTTGGTCATATGTTTTTTTTTCTTTATTCTGACACGGAGCCGTGTCAGAATAGAAAAAAAACTTTTTTCCCCATCGGAATGCATTGCTAGATTCCTATTGGCTATTTCAATTTGCAATAGCCAATAGTAAACTAGCAATGCACACGACATGTGCTGCAATTCACTATTATATTCTCCATCAGATCCATCAGCAGAGGGCGGGTGCAATGCTAGTTTACTATTGGCTATTGCAAATGGAAATAGCCAATAGGAATCTACCAAATGCATTCCTATGGGCAAAACTTTATTATTTTTTCTTCTATTCTGACACGGCTCCATGTCAGAATAAAGAAAAAAAAAAGAAAAAGCAGTGTTTCTCACCTGGGCGGCTGGGAGCAGGAGACTCCCGGAGCGCCCGGGAGAGTTTGCTGGTAACCAGAGACGCTGATCACTCTGCAAGTGACCGGAGCCAGCCGTAAGATCACGGCTGGCTCCGCCCAGCTGTCAGGAGCAGGCTGTCGGCTGGCCAATGGCCGGCCGCTCGTCCAGCTTCGGCTTTCAGCACGGCTCAGCCGAGCAGAGGCATATGCCCTTGGCTCAACTGAGCTGCTTGGCTAAGTTCGGGAGCTGTACAGTCTATTGTGAATAGCCCATACAGCAGCCCTTCAGTTCTACTGAACCGAAGGGGTCCTGGGGCCGAAGCTAGCCGAAGGATCGGCTGAAGCTACGGCTAGATCCTTCGGCTGATTTGTGAATAGAACCCTATGTATTTTTGGATCAAGTAGGATGACATTGTTTTGGTGCTATATTACCTCAACATCATGTAGAAATCAGATAACCCTTTATCCCCAACAATACCACTGTCACCTATTCTGTTACCCATTGCTTCAAATACACATCCTCAGTAGAACTTATAATTGAATGAATTAATGCTGACGCTAGTGGTGCAGGAAGAAGCACTTTCAAAATTTTCTTTACCAACATACATGTGCATGCCTAATGTGAAAAGTATTTTTAATTTACCATGCACACTAGGCACATTAGCAAAATACAATCAAGCTAATTTACTTAACTAATGTTAAAAGCAAAGTTTGGTTAATTCTGAGTACTCAATAACCATCAAGTAAACAGATATTTGCTTTTTACATGATTGGATAACTGAAGTGACTATACACAAGATTTATTGAGTGAAGAGTCCCACCTCCTTCAGTAAATAAGGCTCATTGTTTCCAAATATGGTTTCTGCCAATAAACCCTCTTAACCTCCCTGGCGGTATGATTATGCAGGATTTTAGCATGCCAAAGCTGTAACCTGTGTAAATGTCATGTTTGCTCTTTTGAATTTCCCGCCAGCTCCGCCCCCCACTGTGACGCTCGAAAGCCGGCATTGGCCGGGCAAACACAGCAGAGGACACCGCGGGCTCGCAGGGACAAGGTAAGGTGACACTTACCGCAATCCCGAGTGTTGCTTGGGGTTAACGCTCTTGGTACTAAAAATTAACCCCGAGCCACACTTGGGAATACCGCCAGGGAGGTTAAACCTCATAAATCATATTTTACTAAAATACCAACAATGGGATCCTTGCTTGCACAAATTTGAGATAGAGCACAATTTAAATTATTCAGCCAACACTGATTCATAAATTTCTTCCATCTTCAATACAAATTTTATCTAGCATTCATATGATCCCTCAGTAAGAAGTCTTCACACAGACTGTTGGATCATTTATGTAGAGATATTGGATTAAAAGAGATAACTTGAAATAAATGATATACTTACCATTTTGCGGTATCAGTTGAGTTTGGAAACTTAAAATATTTCTGGTCAGTAAGTATATGAGTAACTTGCATACAAATTAGCAAGTCAGTAATGGCTCATTAAAATCATTGTTTTGCTGTAGCATTGATGCTACTCATACTGGTACATTGTGATGAAATTCATCTTAAATGATACCCCAACGTACCTGAATTGCAGTGAACTGCAACTAATGCATTACTGTACAATGTGGTGCACTGCATTGCTAACACTATTTTTTGTGCACTCTGGTGGGTTTGCAGACCATGGTGTGAACGATCCCAACATTCTTTGACCTTAATATATTCATGCTGACTTGTTCAATTCTGTTCTGTCAGGGGAATTGGCTTATTACATATTTTGCTTTTCATTTTCCATGCAAATCTGTCTGGTGTGCATGTTCTAGTTAGGAATCTACACACTCATGAATTATGAATAGTACAACTTTATTGCAGATTAATCTGCATGAATTTATTTTGTCAAATTAGAAAACAAATTGCCATTTGCCAATTCACCTGATTTGTGAATATATTTGATCACTTACTAGCCTTTATATGCCTGAGAAATTATAAATCTATGCTGAAGTAGAATCATGAAATAGACCAAAAAAATACAGTGCTACAGCCCATGAGCATACACTAATGTTGCTGTAAAGAACTTGCAAACTTTCATCCTTTATTTCAACAAAATGGACTTAGTGTATATAAAGTGAATATTTCAGAATTCTACTTTCTAGCATTCTAACATTGGCTGGAGAAAACTCTAACACCTCACTGGTTATTAGAACAACAACATATTTTTTTACTTGATAGCATTATTTA